AGGGGGATCGCGGCGGCGAAGAAGAACGAGGCGAGATCTTCTGTCGCGCCTAATAAAAAATCGGAGATCTCGAGTTCGGCCAAGATTCGATCGGACATCTTCAAGATACAACAGATGTTTCAAAGCCCCGATAACTGTCCGAGGACGGTGGTGAAATGTTCGAACGAGAAGAAGATCGAGAAGAGGAACGAGTGTGAGAAGAGATCCGGGGGGGAAATTAATAAAACGAGATTACTCGCTCAAAAATTGTTGGAGGCGTCCCGAAGCAATCGGGAATCGTTGAAGGATCGTTACAATAATCCGAGGAACGCGTCCAAGGTTGGTAAAAGCGTGAACGGTAAAAGTGCGTCGAGTAAGGCGTGTTCGCAGAAGAGCGGCGTGGATCCCAAGCGATCCGAGAAAGGGAAAAGTGTCGTAGGGTCGGAGGAGATACACCCGCAACCTCCTATTCGTAAGAGAAAAGAATCGAAGAACGGACGCAGCTGTGAAACGGATAAAACTACGGTGGACGATCCCGGGAAGAAGGATAAGAACGATATCGAGGAGAATTCGAGGAGCGGCGAGAACACGGGGAAAGAAATTGAAACGTCGTCGAACGACGACAATTGTTCGAACAACGGCGATCCAACGGATGAGTCAAGAGCGAGAACGAAGGAGCTCAACAGGCCGGATATTCTGGACGGATTGTTGAAGGAGTGCGATCGGCAAATGGCAGACTTGAAGTCGGATTTGCACGAGAGGAGGAGATCGCGAAGCCATTGGAGAGGATTCGTGCAATCGATGAGGCTGCACGACGTCGAGCTTCATTCGGACACCGAGGATCAACGAAAGGGTGAGCGAGTCAATGTTTGTTCACACTTTAGATTAGAGATATCTTTGTTACGCGTTAGAAAACAAATTTATCGTCGACGTATACATCTGCGCACCTATCAAAGATAATTCCTAGTAAAGAAAATAGTAGAGGTTCGAAAAACTCTACGACGAATAAAATGATCGAAAATCGATCTCGCCAATCTGTATTATTCCGTTCCGTTTCGTCGAAAATTGCTCCGTAATTGTCCCTAAAGGAGCATTCACGTTTCTATATGCATCTGTAATACCGATCTACGCACACGATCGGCGGAGTTAAGTGAGATTTATTACGAAATATCTGCTGGTCATTTCGATGACCCTCTCTCCCTTCCCCCTTTGATTGTTGGCCTGCTTAAAGAGCAGAGGGAGTTTTATAAGCCGGCGGATTGGATTAGCAACGTTCGCCGAGGTGTTTAAAATTACAACCGGCGTGGCCATTAATCCCTTAGCTCGGGGCACCCCTATTTTTAGACATTCGTGTAGGCTCCCTTTGTCGCTCTTGTTGCTAGTGCAGGTCAGGGTAGCGTATCCCTAACAACATATGTCCCAACATATGGATTTAGCTAGGAGAAACGGAAAACGCTTCTACTCTCCTCGCTTCGTGTAACATAAAATCGTGATCGTGTCCCCTCTCGTGCTTGCTCCACTTCATCCAACGATCCTTTCGAAATAATTCGAATCGCGAAGAAAACAATCATTCTTGCTTTTCCTTCCTTTCAAAATTCGAGATTTTGGAATCTCGTCCGATCCAAGATCGCGACGCGGAACGTTCCTGCCGCGATTAGACGGTTGATTTCTCGATTCTCACGCCACGAATTTCTCCTCGTCGCTTCTCTCTCATCGATCGCGCCAGATCATTTACTTCGATTCGACGAGCCTCGACGAAAGCCTTGCGCGGCCAACCGCTTTTTTTCCCGTCCCTTTCAGTTTTATTTTTATCTTTCGATTATCTTACTTTACGTTACGTGGATTTACCTTATCTCGACGCCCTCGAAAAGAGGCTCGCTCCACGCTAAACGAAAACGCTTTATCGCGTTACAATTTTGGGCACACTCGTAAAACAGGGAAGGGAAGGGAAACGGAGCGGTGGTTTTAGGGCGAGGGGCTCGTCTTTCGGAAAAGAAACGATCGAAAGTCTAAGCTTCTTCTCCCGTCTTTCTCTCTTCCTCTCCTCGCCAGATATATATTCGCGATGTGCGCGATTCGATAAATTACGGGACTGTCGTCGCGTTAAAGATATACGAGCCAAGGTATTTACATCGTTTTCAGCGTGTTTCCAAATACTTTTTTTTTGCCACGCGTTTTAGTTCCATGCATCGTTCGAGCGAGATTACGAATATTAAAAAAAAATGGGGGGAATTTCTCGCGCGCGTTCACGCGAAGAAAATTTCAAATTTCGCGAGCGAGGAATATAATTTAGTTTATATATCGTGTATCGATATCGAGTTTACACGAAAAGTTGGAAGGTTTATTCGATTCGCCTTCTCTGCCGCACGATTGCACATTTTCACGCGCGGAAAAGTTATTGCGCATCGGCATTTACCACTCGCCTTGCCCACTGTTCATAAAAATGATTACGCAAAAAGCTGTGTTAACCGTCGAACGATTGCGTACGTTTCATCTTGCGTCAGAATGGCGAGGGACGCGATAAACGTTTACGAAACGACGGCGCATCCCGCCCCTTTTCAAGGATTCCCCCTTATTTTCATCGGAACGAAATTGTTTCGAGCCTTGGAGTGATAGCAAAAGCAAGTGATGGGAAAAGCACGGTTGGCTGCCGACCACGAATCGTCGTGGATGGATTACAAATCGTTCTCTGTGACGATCGTCGACCGGAAGAACCGGCAAATATCTCGAGGAGAACAATAGGCCGCGGCTCGATAAGGATTCCACGGACGAACGATCGATCGGCGGTCATCGATGATGCATCGTGCCGATGCACTCGAAATGCTCGTGCATTCTTTCGACGTGCACACGCACATGGGTGTGTATCCAGAGTGACGGCCCTTACCCTTCGAGTCTACGCCCTAATATTGATCTGCCGTCCTTCCTGCCCCTCCATGGTGGCCCATGGTGTGCGTACAATGAAACGCAGCCATCTTCCCCCTCGTCCCGCCAACACCCTACCAGACCCATACCGTAAGTCCGGCGTATGGGCCGATGTTGCTCCTCAGTGCAAATCTAGCTGTCAAACCGCGAGCATTTTACAACGCCGATCTAACCCGTCGCCGATTCACCTTTCCTCCTTCATCGTGGACACCTTCCTTCCCTC